AGATATCTGGACATCAATATGTATGTTTATATATGTATGTGCATGGCCCTGCATGGGAAGAGGGGGTGCACACACACTACATTTTTTTTTTGTATGATATATTTGATGTATATCATTATGCTTCTTTTACGAAATTGTTACACAGCCGACAGCCAAAAATGAGGCTTTTTGTGTTATTTTTAAACTTTCTTTCACAAATCCTATAACATGTATTCCTAGCTGGCACGCGACCCAATAATACTCGCGACACTCGATACCGGCGCGGTGCGTGGTAACCAGCTGATAGTACATGGGTCTGGTAGGACTTTGCACTTACCCGGATGGCTAGTCAGCTCATGTGTGTGCGTGCCATGCGAAGCTTGCAATATGCCAATCTATGTGTACAGTGATGATTGCATGTTTTTTCTGTTGACAATGGAAACCAGATTGCTGGAAACTGAATTCAGACAAGGACACGATACAACAAATCGTCTTCTTTCTCTAGTAATTTAATGAAACGTGAAAGCTTCCGCGCTTTGCACGGGATGGGCGAAAAATGAACCCAGACAAGGGTTAAGAGTATTAATTTAATGAAACAGCGAGGCTTCTGAATTCAAATAAGGATTAAGAGTAATAATCAAATGAAACGACAAAGCTTCCGCGTTTCGCGCGGGAGGGGGGGGGGAACTGTATTCAGACAAGGATTAAGAGTCGAAAACAGTACAATGAATCGTCTTCTTTCTCTAATAATTTAATGAAACGTCGAGCGATCGACGCCACTGATAACAACACAGTTTATACACACGAGATATTTTTGCAAGTACTACTGGTAAAGTACCGGACCACCGTTCTCGGGGGGGGGGGGGGCGCCTGTGTGAAGTTATTTGATTTGATTTTATTTTATTTCTGCATTTTTTTCCATATAAAATATAACTGAATAACAAAGAACATATAAATGTAAGGTATAATACAACATAAACAAACAATATTTTCTTCTTGTCAAATTTTTTTTAAACATAATATATGTACATATAATAACGAAACTTAATATTTCCAAAAACATATAATCATAAATTTAAAGTATTATCCGAACTATTCTGTTGGAAAAATGCAGGAGACCGCAATCATGAGCAAAGCTTGATAAGGATGGCGGCCTCAAAAAAACAAAAGCAAAAAAATCTTAAGGTAAACCTTAAAATGAAAAAGTGTTTAAACGATCTTTGTGTATGAGTGTGTGAGTGTGTTGTGCAAGTGTATGGTGAGTGTGCGTGTGTGTGTGTGTGTGTGTGTGTGTGAGTTAGAGAGAGAGAGAGAGAGAGAAAACGATGCCATCTATTATCCTGTCAAAACAAGAACATCCAAGCTTGACGCATTATTAAAATTCAATTATTCACGGCTAACAAAAATAACAAACAACCAAATTTGCGTTTATGTCGTGGCTTTATTAACATTTTGAGATGGACGCTTATTTTGCACATTATGATTTTCTGGGTGTCATAACAAAATAACACAGATATATTGAATCATAAAAAATGCTTACAAATGCAATGCTAGGCCCCCCGCCTATGAAATCGAGTGATGCCTAGGCTAAACTTATATACATTAAGTCATTATATCAGCCCCCCGCCTATAAAATCGAGTGATGCCTAAAGTAATGCTAGGCCCCCCGCCTATGAAATCGAGTGATGCCTAGGCTAAACTTATATACATTAAGTCATTATATCAGCCCCCCGCCTATAAAATCGAGTGATGCCTAAAGTTATAGAATATAGATGTATATATATACCAGCCTCTCCGCCTGTAAGATCGGATGATGCCTAAGATTAAAGCGTGACACCCTGAGTTTGAAAATGTGTAGGTACAACTAGGTCCCCCCGCATTCAAATCGAATGGGGGCCGGAAAACTAAGAATTGACATGCGAACAAATTCGACTGAATATACATTGGCAACCCCCTCGCATGTAAAAATTGAGTGGGGTCGAAAATTATCGGATGACAATTATTGATCAATAAACTTATCAGTACCATGTGATTAGTGATTTACCCATACAAAACCGGGTAGGGGCGAAACCCAATGGGAAAAATTCCCCTACGGCCCACTTTCTTTGTGCACGACGCAAGTTGATGTGCGACCAGGCCAAATGCCCCCGGCTCTGCATTAACTTCATAAATCACTGACCAATTTATTACATAAACCCTATCCGTACCTTTCATACCTGAAATCCTAAATCCTTTCCGTACTAATACGTATACCTTGGCTACTTCGAACCACCAAGCAATACTTAATTTATTCCACTAATATACTAAAAATACTTTTATTGGTGGAGATAATGGGGAGGTGGTGGGAATGTTTTAGACTCCGTAAATTTTTCTTCTTGTCCATTCAAAATGAAAGCCATAACTAGAATGAAAGCCCCTTCGTGCTATTTTTAATTTGCTGGCGGTATTTTCCGCGCTTGTTTGATAAGCGTACATACGCTTGTACATTTCCTTCCAATGTAATACAAAGTATTACATTTCCTAGCGCGTGAATTTCCCTCAAAAATGTAAACAACCTCTTGACCTACATTTTGTCAGCCTGTCAATAAACCATTTTAAATCGTTGTCTACTCTTTAAATTTTATTATTCACGGCTAACAAAAATAACAAACAACCAAATTTGCGTTTATGTCGTGGCTTTATTAACATTTTGAGATGGACGCTTATTTTGCACATTATGATTTTCTGGGTGTCATAACAAAATAACACAGATATATTGAATCATAAAAAATGCTTACAAATGCAATGCTAGGCCCCCCGCCTATGAAATCGAGTGATGCCTAGGCTAAACTTATATACATTAAGTCATTATATCAGCCCCCCGCCTATAAAATCGAGTGATGCCTAAAGTAATGCTAGGCCCCCGCCTATGAAATCGAGTGATGCCTAGGCTAAACTTATATACATTAAGTCATTATATCAGCCCCCCGCCTATAAAATCGAGTGATGCCTAAAGTTATAGAATATAGATGTATATATATACCAGCCTCTCCGCCTGTAAGATCGGATGATGCCTAAGATTAAAGCGTGACACCCTGAGTTTGAAAATGTGTAGGTACAACTAGGTCCCCCCGCATTCAAATCGAATGGGGGCCGGAAAACTAAGAATTGACATGCGAACAAATTCGACTGAATATACATTGGCAACCCCCTCGCATGTAAAAATTGAGTGGGGTCGAAAATTATCGGATGACAATTATTGATCAATAAACTTATCAGTACCATGTGATTAGTGATTTGGAGGCATAATTTGACAAATTACCGCCAAACGAGAATATATTTATATATGATCGGCCGCCAAATCACAACGTTGTCATCAAACGATTTTTGTGCACTAAGGGAATATCTATGCTCAACTATTTACACTTTGGTGGAATTAACATTTCAATTGGCCAAATTAACCAATGTACATGTACAAGCATGTACTTTTTCGCCCTTAAGCTAATTTATAACCCTATAACAGACTACAGAGTATCGTAATAAACTTATCTCTACAACACCGGCACATCATTATGCCTAATTCATTCCCCTCAAAGAAGTGACTAAACCGTTAATGCCCATTTCGAAATGAAGCATTCGCAAAACTGGTCATTTACCAATGTCCACCTAAACCTGCCCCATATAACCATTATTTACTCTCCACAACTTTGTTTCTCCCAAAATAAGGCACTCTTATCCCAACAACAAAAACATGATCTTGCGGTGCCGGACTCAAACTTTTTTGCAGAATTTACTTTGCTACCCGAACAGACTTAAACATTGAAATATAAGAACGCTGAAATATAAGAACACTGAACTATAAGAACATTGAAATATAAGAACAAACAACGTGTTTTGTAACATTATCATTGTTTAACTACTTGGATGAACCGAGATAGGACAGGCCCTCCTTCAGGTCAGTAATAAACCTGTCCAAACCCTCATTGGAGAGATGCAATCCGTCCGGCCTATATAAAGCCCTATCCTTATGCCTTATGTCGGGGTGTGGAATGGCCTTTCCCCCATTCCTGAAGGCGCGAGCGTATCGGTTCGTGGCCCTCCTTCTATCGTCTAATTTTCCCTGCTCTTCCGGAGTACAGCATTTGTATTCTACCCGTTCTAGGATGTCAGACCATATTATTATCGTCTCAGTGTTCGATGTGATTAATCTGTTCACCGCATTCGCCATCGCCCTCCTCGAACATCCCTCTATGTCATTCGTGCCCACGTTTAACACTAAAACGGTCGGCTTCGTCAGGCCACTGGTAATCGACTCTAGCCATGCGTTTGTTTGGTCCAAGCGAAGGCCCCGCTTTCCAGCCCAATGGATGACCGTCCCATATCGGCGCAGTCAGTCCGCTCCGCCCTGCGATGGGCCCAGAAAACGATAGAGTCGCCTACTATCCATAGTTGTTCTGTGGACAAAATAAGAAAAGAGGACTGGGCAGCATTTTGTATTCCAAAGAACATGCGTTAATGTGAACTTGAAATCCCATTGTGTTTTCTTGCTCTTGTTCTGCATGTATGTTTGTTGTCTGCTTGACTTCGTTTTCATTTTTATGTTGTAGCACCATTATTATTATTATTGCTATTATTATTATTAGCTTATTTAACCTCTCGAGGCGAGGGACTTATTCCTCTGTGTGTTGTACATATATTCATTCCTGTGTATGCGGCCTCACCCTTACTATTATTGGCCCCAGACACGTTAACCTCATCATTCACTCTGTTATATTTTGTACGTATACCTGGCGAATCAAATCAAATCAAATCAAATCAAATCAACCCCAACGGTACTTTGCAACATTGCTCATATTTAAACAACCATATCAAGCCTTATATATCTGCGATGCGCGGAGGAAGCCCATCGACCCATGTGCTGTATTTGGGCGTCCGAGCAGCCCGCCATAGCAGCGGTTGTAGCCGCACCTATACGAAAAGAATGGGAGGAAAACTTCGCCGCCAACATATCTCTGTATGACATGCATCTCTTTATCATGGCACTGAACCCATGCCTGGTGAGAGGAAGTGAACCATATGAGCAAAAGAAAGCCTCCCCACTTCCCGGGCGCATTTTCAAATATCTAAGGACCGCCTTTACGGGACAACTACCCGCCTCAATTTCGTGTATTGAAATGGTGCAACCGTTTCCCCTCGGATCAGTTTTTGATTCCCTTTAAAGAGAGCTTCACCCGGCGATGTGGTGCACTGCCGGTGACTGCCACGTCCGTGAAACGCAGCATTCGATCCCGCCTATGCCGTGATACCACTGTGAATTCACTAATTCGTAAAAAACCATAAAATGCCAAACAAAATGCGGCAGAGTATAATAACACTTCATAAGTGCTAACACAAACATGTTCCAAATCGGTCAACATTTGGTTCAAAACGGGTAATGTGATAGGATGCCTAGCGTCTCTCCTTGATGTGCGGCGCTTGCATCCCTCGACTAATCGTACTGCTGACGAAAGGCGGAGGAGCGAGGCCCATGGGACGCAACCACCATCAACCACAATTCAGCATCCACGCTTGCCCAAGATCGGCCGGGCAGTCGCGCTTGCTTTAGCCTAAACTGTATGTCATACTCTCTCCACCCAAGGCCCCCAAATGCTCTAGAAGCGTGTCTAATCAAATCCATATATTTGATGAGCTCTCTGCTTCGCTCGATGTGCTTCTCCAAATAAATAGACACAAACACCAGGAACACGGATGTCCAATGCTCCACCGAAAATATGCCTTCATTCTTTGCCCGAGGTTGGAATTGCAACCAGAGCCCAGATTCAGACTGCCGCAGACTAAATACGGCTTCACCTAGCTCTTGGGATGCCCCACTATCACTCCGTGCATAAGCATTCTGTTTGAGAAGCAAGGCTAAATCAATAAATTCACTCCTCCAAATTCTCTCCTTGAGCGACATTGCCACTTCGGAACCCAACGGATCAGCCGCGCTCATAAACGGCACCGGTGACCCCACCACGGAAGGGGGTACTGGCGGCGCAGTCCGCTCCGCCATATTACCCTCGCATGAAGCCTGCCCAACCGATTGAGCCTGCAATGAAATCTCCGATTGCTCCCTCACAGAGGGCACCGACTCTCGTGCGATAATCTCCGGCCATAATATGGCCGCGCGCCTACCAGTACTGATATCAGGTACATCATTGCCACTAGCTCTAGATCTACAAATGATGTTAGGGTTGAACTCACCGCCCTGATCGTCGGCGCCGCTGGGGCCCACTCCGACAGGCGTTGACGTTGCCTTCGCCCTAGACCGAAAGCTTCAGTCTCTATAATCGTCGGTTGTTCCACTGAGACTACGTCTGGCTCCACTAGACCTCCGGTTATAGAGACTGAACGACTGCCTATGCCAGCCTGTGTTGAACTTATTCCGCTAGATTTTAGCCGCTAGGCCCCTCCCACAAACTTGCCACGGCCGTATTGTTATGCCCCCAAAATCCCCCAAAATGTCATTTTACCTCGTTCATTTCCAATTTTAAATTAGGCCTAGGCTATAATACATCGGTTCCACTTACTAACTTGATTGATATAATCCGTTTAATGGTCCCTTTTAAGGAAATTATCGGTCAAAATCGACATCCATGTTGAAAATCTTGCAAGCCGTGTTAAACTCTCGCTGCCGTCAATCTCATCCCTTCTAGTCTACGCCGAAGGCAAAATGATTATGAAGGAAAAACTGTGCGCCATCTACACGTTCGTAATGGCGTTATCACAGAAAAAACTGTGATAACGCCATTACGAACGTGTAGATGGCGCACAGTTTTTCCTTCATAATCATTTTGCCTTCGGCGTAGACTAGAAGGGATGAGATTGACGGCAGCGAGAGTTTAACACGGCTTGCAAGATTTTCAACATGGATGTCGATTTTGACCGATAATTTCCTTAAAAGGGACCATTAAACGGATTATATCAATCAAGTTAGTAAGTGGAACCGATGTATTATAGCCTAGGCCTAATTTAAAATTGGAAATGAACGAGGTAAAATGACATTTTGGGGGATTTGGGGGGCATAACAATACGGCCGTGGCAAGTTTGTGGGAGGGGCCTAGCGGCTAAAATCTAGCGGAATAAGTTCAACACAGGCTGGCATAGGCGATCGTTCTGTCTCTATAACCGGAGGTCTAGTGGAGCCAGACGTAGTCTCAGTGGAACAACCGACGATTATAGAGACTGAAGCTTTCGGTCTACCTTCGCCCTTGCCCTCGGACTTTTCCTCGCCTGACTTGGGGGTAACGCTGCATCCGCTCTCGGATTCTCCGCCTGACTTGGAGGTAACGTTGCCCTGGGCGCCGTCTCGCCACCCCTCTTCCTCCCGGCCACGGATTTCTTCTTCGCTTTTGGCATGATCGCCAACGTACTCCTGCCAGTAGAGATGCGAACAAGGCCACTAACACTAACAGTTCAAGTTGATAATGATATGGACTCTCCTTTCTAATCGGGCCCAACGACAAAGGCCAGCCCAAAACCCGAATATAATCCCGCTGGTCGCTCACGAAAAAATAAATAATTCAGCGTTATATATCCAACTAATTATTCCAGTGCAGTGCTAACGTTAGTATTAATCCAAATCCTCTAATAATGTTTTAGACTCCGTAAATTTTTCTTCTTGTCCATTCAAAATGAAAGCCATAACTAGAATGAAAGCCCCTTCGTGCTATTTTTAATTTGCTGGCGGTATTTTCCGCGCTTGTTTGATAAGCGTACATACGCTTGTACATTTCCTTCCAATGTAATACAAAGTATTACATTTCCTAGCGCGTGAATTTCCCTCAAAAATGTAAACAACCTCTTGACCTACATTTTGTCAGCCTGTCAATAAACCATTTTAAATCGTTGTCTACTCTTTAAATTTTATTATACATGTGTTGATGCCGGAAATTTTTCATGCCGGAAATATCCATGAAGGTTATGTGATGAAGTTTGATATTAATTTATCTGACAGTGCATAACGGTCTGTTTAAAATATAGTTGTATATAGCATGCCTCTTAATACCAGCTTGTTTCTATCGCAACGTGCATTTCAACAACAAAACACAATCTATCTGTTCATATCAATCCTGTTCTCATATGAGCTTACCGCCTGCGGAGAAGGAAAAATGTATCATTTACCATTTACAATTGGTCGAACGTAGTTATCCAGTCATATGTCTCCTGCGATTTCAATTGATTTCCGTTGATTGGTAGCTTTAGCCTACAGTTTTAATCTTACAGTTAATATTTCCCGCCCTTCTGTATTCGAGCAACTGTTTTCTTCTTTGCCAAATTTGTTCATTTTTTTATCCGAGACCGAGGTCAAGTTGTTTGATCATTTTTGGAGGCCCTTGAAAATTGATTTGTAAAATGGTAAGTATTTTATGTTTTTTTTTAAATCATATTGAAATGGTCACCTTGTGCTTGATTTTATTTTATAGCCGTTTTACTTGTTATCCGTTTTAATGTAGGATTTCCCGGCCAAATTCGCGAGTTTGTCATTCAAATTAATTTGTCTTGCGTTCAAATTCGACGGTTTAAGTGTCGGGTTTATATTCCCTTTTCTAGTTTTCAAATCTATGGATTTGTCGTTAGAATCTACGTATGTTTCATTCAAATTAATCAATAATGTGCTTCTTTCGCTATTTGGTCATTCGATTTGGCGCAACACGATTTTCTGACAACGCGACGGTGTACTTTTAGCATTCTAATTCATTTGTAGCATTCAAATTAGCACTTTGTGCACTTAAATTGATGGTCAATATACATTTCTCGTTTATTACACACTTTTTCTTTCAAGAATGTTTTTTCATGTGTATTTCATCATATTTCATTTTCTTGCATTTATACACTTATACTTATTAGATTTATATGATATTCATCAACATTTAAGTTTAGTTGTTAAGAAGAAAAAAAGACTTGCATTTACGGACCTGATAGTCTCAGTATATTTGGAAATGTTCATGTAAGGAAGTTGTTTGTCTTATGTTTCATCATAAATTTATCATAATTTCATCATAATTTCATTATGGAAGAACGGTACTATATTGTGACGGGGTAGGGACTAGAGTCAACAATTTGAACAAGATTCATTATTTAGCCATGTCTTTAGCCATCGATCTGCAGGCGGACAAGTAAACTCTGAAACTCTTTAAGAAAAACAGAGGGATGTGCTGGGTATAAGAGACGATGTGAATTACTTTTGTAACATTCCGAGTCTGTAGTAAAAAGGGGCGATTGAGGGTACCCCCAACTTTCCCGGGTATATTAACATGTCCGTGCAGAAATGCAATATCCCTTGATTTCACCCCTTCTTTACTTTATGTCTGACTACACCCATATGCATTGTCCTGAAAATAAATAAATGGAATAACAGCTTAGACCCCAATGGCAAATCATGCATTTTAACTGCATTATTTAAAAACTGTAATAGTTTGTTGCTATTCTTCCCCCTAACATTCCTAACTTGAATAAAAATATTACGAATACGAATGACAGGTGTTAATTTGAATGATACAAATTACGCTTCGACAAGTGAATATCAATTTGAATGCTAGTTGAGCAGTTTTTAAATTGAATGACAGATCTATGAAACCCTTCGACCGAAATCCTAAATTAAATACAAAAACTGGAAAATTGAATGATAATTGGCATGGGAAAGCCGATCTGCGCTAACTTAAATGCAAAATAAATGAATTCGAATGACAAACACGCGAATATGGCCAGGAAATCCTATATAAGCATATACATGATTCCTTTCTTGAATTAGATAATGACTTTTTTGAAAGCATGTATTTTTATTTAAATCAAAGCAAATTCGAAATAACAAAGTTAAACAATTTAATTTAAAGATTATTCACAGGATTATTGCCTCAAAAGAAAATTTATATAAATGGCAAACTGTGAATAATAATTTATGCAACACTTGTGAAAAAGTTGATTCAGCGTTTCACTTTTTGTTGTATTGCAAGGATATAATGATGTAAAATAATTTGTGATTTGATATTCCACCTATTCCAAATAGAACTTCAAATAAAACAAAAGATATTAATTGCAGGTAAGGACCTAGAAAACAAGAAATATGCTCTCCTGAATACTATTTTAAATTATACGCAATATGCGATTTATAAATGTTACGTTAAAAAGATTGTAAATGATTCTGTTATTTACCCGCATACTTTTTTATTTTAATTCAAGTCGTTGCTAAGATTATTTTTTAAGGTATGAATGAGTTGGCAAAGAATATAATACTAAGCTGGAAGAATTGTTGAACATATTTTAATTTTTAACCAATGTTATGTTTCATTCAATTAATAATTGAATGAAAAATAACATTGGATTTTTACTAAATATGTATTGAAATTATGGAAATAAAAACCTCGCTTGAGGAAAAGAGATAAACAAAACATGATACATTTCGAAATAATAGAATGTAATTATAGTGTAGAACAAACAATAACAAGATAATATTTAATTTGTTTTCTTAAATTAAACATAAATGACTTAAACAGAGAGGCATGATGTAGGAAGCAATGTTCGTGAGATGAAAAGGAGAGTGACTCATGACTAAATGAATAATAGCTGTTTGGTTCAAGTTTAAAGAAATATAATTGTACATGAGACTTCAGCCAAAGCAATCAAAAGCTTGAGTTAGACTGGAGTCTTCGTAATGAACATTCGATACAGATTGTATTATGTACTAACTACGAGCTGGTCTGTTGGGTAAATTCCATGCTCTTTTTAATTGAACGTCCATATTTGATCTACATCAGGCCTAAAAGAAGAAGAAAGGAATAAGAATGAAGAAAATAGAAAATAACAAGGAATCAGGAGAAGAATAGAAGAAAATGTTAAAGAACAGAAAAGAAGAGAAAGTATAGATTTTCCCGGCCAATTTCGCAACCTTTCCAATCCATTCAATCAAATTTGACTTGTCCCATTCTTGCTATTTGAAAGTACAAATTCATGTTCTGTGGGTTAAATTCGCGTTTGATTCAATCAAATTAACATGTTCCTCATTCAAATTCATGGGTTATTTAAGCTTTTCGTCAATCGTGCATACATTTTAGAATGATAAGATCCCGTAACCCTGCCCTTCATACATTCAAACTCATTTTGAGCATCCGTCGTAGCATTTCGTTCATTGAAATTATTTCAGTCTCTTCGATGAATTTGAATGAATCTTGCATAGCACATTTTAACAGAACCTCATTTTACTATGTTTGAGGTGTCATTATGAAAGAAAATTAAGTTTCGTGTAAGATGATATAACATTAAGTAGGTTCGGGGATGGTTTGCATTATAATTTTGACCAAAAAATGTGAATTTTTACGAATTTACCAAACATGTGAATCGCCCCAAATACCTATTTGTCCATATGTATTCATTTAGTTATGATGACTACTGACTTCAAACTTTCTGAAAACCTTGCATATCATATCCAACTTCATTGTTTTTGTGTAAAAAAAAGTTATAGCGCTCTAAATTTTTCACTTTGATATTAGCTAAAATTGACATTTTGTTTGCTAAGGGCCGTCTGTTCCTTAGCATTTGTAAAATAGATGAAAAAAGAATATATCGCTAGTAGACGCTATCTTTTAACAGATGACTATTTTTGGGGGAAGAATGATGTCAGGTAATGTAAGTTCTTTCATATTTTAATGATATATTTCTCTTAATTTCTGTTGATATGGCGATAATTTCGATAGCAACCGATAAATGTGTTCTCTGAAACCAAAGCAGGCCATCGGTCAAATAATAAATAAAATATTACAAGTGACAGACATGATTTGCTTTCTGAAACATGGGCATAGTGTATACCTCCCCCCCCCCCCCCCCCCTTACTAACACCAGGATAAATTTCAGGATGTTGGCAATATGTTGTGTAGGGCATGGTGTGGGTTCAAAAATGATGCAGGCTATCGGTTGAATGATACATAAATAAGATCTGGATCCAGGTGATAGTCATGATTTTTAGTCTGAAACATGAAAACAATGGATGGTGGAGTTCAGAACTTGCACCCCACCCCCTTCTGAGACCAACCCTCCCACTCTCTCTATCTCTTTCTCTCTCTCTCTCTCTCTCTCCCTTTTTTTTTTTTTTTTAATATATCTCTCTCTCTTTCTCTCTCTCTCTCTCTCATCTAGATCAAAATTTCATGCAAAGCAATATTTATATAGTACATTCATTGCAATCCAGAAATAGTCTCTTTTCCCACGGAATCTTCTCAATACTTGTCCAAACGGCATGGAAACATGTTTGGCAATGCATTTCCTTTTTCCTCCCCTACCTCGAAAATTTAGGCATAAATTATTTGTTTTGTATAATACTTTATTGAACCAGCCATGTGTAAGATAATAAAAGACCTGGATTAAAATCATAGACTAGTATCACTCTATAAAAACTAGATACTTAAAGGTACTATGTCCCATTTGCAGGCCAAAAAATGAAAAAGTTAAATTCCAACTGCATTTGAAAGATAATACAAATTTAGAACTTCCCTAAAAAAGGTGGGGCTTGAAAATGTCTTTAAGTGGAAAAATAACGACTATTGGTTGTCAAATCGACTTTAGGGCTATAGAGCCTAATAGTAATAGTCTTGATTTTCAGACAATTGTACCGAATGGTCATACGTTTTATGCTGCGCAAAGATTCAATCAGTTTAATCGTGGCCATCACAAGAAGTGGGTTATTGATGTAGACAAATGCTCATGTCCCCTTTACAACTCGTTTCATGTATGTTATTACCAAAGAAGAAAAAAGCCAGTCAGTCACTCAATAGTGTCTGACAGTGAAGTCTAGCAAGTAAACCGGTTTCCTTGCATAATTTGAAAATGAGGACACTGCTAACGTTTAA